CCACATCCCCTTCACTCACCAGGACATGGGTCTCCCCCAACAACAGAGCAGGTGAATGAAGAAAGAGTACTTCACAATGAGTGCAAACGTGGCTGAAGGCTCCACTGGAACAAAAAACTCCAGTCATCTAGGTTTTCCTTGCCATTGGATTAAGGTTCCCACAAAATACTGTGTGGTTGCTGAAGCACAACAGCAACCCCATGTTAAAAAGTATCTTTTCATAGGTACATTCACACGTATCTTCCTTCACTAGCAAGTCCTACAACAACAGGTGAGTGGCGAGGGGGGTGGGCATTAGTGATTACCAGAACCCCGTAGTCATGGACCTACACAGAGGCAATGGTTATATGATGGTCATCTTGCAGTTGAAACTGAGACAGGTGTGCAATCTGGCAGTGGCAATCATGACTAAGTAGCCTATTTAGGATCCACCCTGCTCACCCCATATGGAGAGGGAACTAGAAAAGGCACTTGAAACACAGTCTCTTTCGTATCACCTGACTGGAAAACTGCATCCGGTGGAATCACTCTATCTGCACTCCACATCAAATTGTGAAGTTTGCAACCTGGAACATCTGCACCTAACGGTGATTGACCAAAGCAAGAGAGAGCACTCATGGCCAAAGAACTTGCACAATTCCATATTGACACTGCTGCACTTAGAGTGACCAGATAACTAGGAGAGGGGCAGCTAACAGAGCATGGTGATGTCTACACTTTTTTTGGAAAGGAAAAGGTGAAAAGACAAATGCATCTAGAGCACTAGTTTTTAATCAAGAGCAAGATTATTTACTTAGATGCCAGAATGTCCACCTGGCATCAAGAATCTTGTAATCCTTGGTCTTGAACTGACCAACAAACAGTAACCAGCAGTCATTAGAGTTTATACACCCCAACCTTTAATGCAGATAATGAAACAAAAGAAGAATTCTATTCTAAACTTGACCAAGCCTTGTCATCTGTCCCCAAAGAAAATAAGAACATTCTTCTTGGCAATTTCAGTGCTAGAATGGACAGGGACTCTGAGCTATGGGGAGGAGCACGTGGAAAGAAAGGGGTAGGAAAAGTCAGTTCAAATGGAATTCTTTTCCTGAGCAAGTGTTCAGAACATGAGCACATCATCACAACCTTCTTATGCCACCAATGGAAGACATCACAGAAGCACCCCGGCTCAAAACACTGGCATTTGATTGACGATTCACAGAAGTTTAGAGCTGGAAGGGACCTCGTGAGATCATCAGGTCCAGCCCCCCTGCTCTGGTGTCTGGCATCAGCCCCCCTGATGTCACAGTGTATGCCTGGGATCAAAGCAATGTCTACATCAGCTGTGACCAGCGCAGATAACTGCTGAACAGGTTATCATATAATATATTCCATCATGCCCATTTGTATCACCCCAAAAAAAAGTAAACAAAAGAAGCAATCAAAGAAGAGGTTCCATACTCAGTGCTTGAATGACTCTGCTAAAAGAATTCATCTCCAGCAGTGCCTCAGTAAGAAAATCTCCAACCTCCCTGATGATCTAGACACCACTAATTATTGGAAAACATCAAGAAAGGTATCCCTGAGGTATGAGAAGATGCCCTAGGTTTCTCCATAAAGAAACATCAGGACTAGTTAAAAAATGATAGGGAAATACAACCTCTCAGTGACAGAAAAAGGAGAACCTTCAAAGCTTGGCAGAACAATATCAGTTCCAAAGAAAAGCAAAGCACTTATTACCACATCAAAGCCAAGACACAGAGGAAAGTCAAGAGCAAAAGCATAAGTGGTGGGAGGACAAAGCAAAAGAAACTAAAAAGTTTGCTGACAGCTATGACATGCATAAATTTATTCAGCACAACTAAAGTTAATCTATGGGCCAAGCTCACAAGGAGCCATCCCTCCCAGGTTCAAGAATGGAAAAATACTCATGAAAGACAGCTCCACCATGCATAGTAACACCTCTTCTTCTCTGCAAAATGAAGATGGTGCTTAATTCCCTAGTGGGGATAGCTGAGGGGCAGCTGATGTTATGCTTTTTGCTCTGATTAACCTGTTAGTGGCTAGGTGTATCTGCAATCATTTTTTAACCTTTCATGGGGTACATATTCTAAGGCAGTGATTATTAGCAAAGCATAGACTTCACTGTACAGACATACAGCAAGATGTTGTCCTTAATCTAAAGTCTTGCTAGAGGTTTTGGTTCATTTCAAAATTTTGACTCTCACTATCTATAAATAACTTATTGCACAACTTCAAAAGGAATTCACTTGCTTGGATAGCTTGGGTTAGAGGAGATGGTAGAACTAGTATACCTGCTCTGACAAAATCAGCTTCTTGATTTGTGGTTTTTAATAAATTGTCTGTTGGTATGCAAGCTCAAGAACAGATTATTCAGCCACCAGATATAAGTATATTGTTGCCCAGCAACAGGATTCAAGCAGAGGTCAAAATCTTGAGTGAATTTGGTTTCCCCTGAGTTAGGCTATATTTTAATAATACACATTTGAACATAAGCCAAGTAACAGTTATTAGCATGGAACACCTCACCTTCTATTTCTTAATTCTATTTTCTGCATACAGTCATGCTGTTTAAGAGGAATTTTGTCCGATAGTATATTGGGTTTCCCTTAGTCACTGCAATATGGGTAATTGCTATGTAATTACACTGTCATAAGTATAATGTAACTGCACTATTGTGGTGCAGTGATTTATAGAATGAAAATGTATTTGAAGAGTATTATAAATGTTCTGCATGCCAGCAATACCAAATCCTTTAATGCCAGTAGCCTTTCTGGGCAGCTTTCCAGCATCTTCATTTTCACACATTTAAAGTCCCTTGTAATGTTAGATCATCATCTAGTCAATACTCTTGAGAGCACAGTAGCTTGTTCTGATGACGTTTCTAATAGCCATGCATGAAAAATACGAAACTTTTTTGTGCACAAATAAATCAATTAACTGACAAATAGCTTTATGTTTTCATAGCATGGATATCAATAAACTGGTGGTGGGTCTCAGGATGGGAATGTGTAGTTGTGCAAAACACATGTTTGGCCTGGGTGGCTTCTAAAGTCTGAAGGATATAAATTGGCAGCAGTGGCAGTTCCTTGATATGAGGATGACAGTCCACTGGTAAATAGGGGAGTCATCACTAAGCCCAAAGATGACTCAGGAGGCCAATCTGAGATGTGCATGTTTAACCGAAAATGCGGCAAATAGTTCTGGGAGGGAGGAGTAGATCCTGGCAATGTCAGGTCATAGCACCCGCCCTTTGTCTCTCTCATTGATCTGCCTCTACAGTGAGTACAGCTTGCTTGAAATGATCAACGCCTTGCTATATATCACAATACTACTGGAGACAATTCACTGCTTGAGTCTCCCAGGCATTGATGTTCATATCACATTTCTTCAGACTGGCTTTCAAGGTGTCCTTGACTCTCTTCTTTTGCCCACCTCTAGAGCCGTGACCATCAGTGAGCTAGCAGTATAGGACCTGTTTTGGGATCCAGTTTTCAGGCATTCTTATGACACATCCTGTCTAATGGAGCTGGGCTGTATAAACATGGCTTCAATGGTGGTAATGCTTGCTTGAGCAAGAACAGTGGCTTTCATTCTTCTGTCCTTCCAGAATGGTTACCTCTGAGTACATGACATGTTGTTAATTCACACCCTAGCTTACTTTACTTGGTCATGTATGACTATCCAAAACTATTTCAGCTGCTGTTTTTATTCGTTATATTCGTACCACTTCAAAAGTGCATTTTCATTCAACAGATTAGACTAGGAACAGCATTATTTGTTCATTCATTTCTCTCCTAAGGAAATCACATTCTCTTGGATCCTTACTAAGTCCTCAGAAATCAGGGCAATGTTTTGAATTTTAATGGTGCAACTCTAAATTATTTGCTGGATACCCTAATCCTAAGTAAGAACTTGAGACAAAAAGGACTCTACATAAAGTAAAAGACCAGATCTCCTCTCCAAAATCAAGCTGTCCTCTTACTTTATACCTAGTTCAAAACGTAAAGAGTTTTTGTAAAGGCCAACATTTTTACATCAGTAGTTCCCATTCCCTCTTCCCTCTATAATGTGTAAAGGGCCTTTGAATTTTCAGAGCATGACATACCATTGCTATTTGATTAAACTGTTCAAACAATGAGCTGCTCAAATGCTGATTGCGCTAGTCATCATGTTCTTTTATCCACTATAGTCCAGATTGAATGCCATTGTTTAAGATGAGATTCTACAGCTTGATTTCAAACTACTACTGATTTCAAAGGTTGAAAATAGCTGCTCATATTAACAACCAACATCTGCTAGGAAGCCTATTCATACTATCTTTATGCTACCAGGACTGTACGGAGCTTATCACTCAGGCCAATCAAGACCCACATGTAGTAAGCCATGCTAAAGGTTAATTTATAGCTGCTCCAGGACCAGAAACACTTTCATGTTATCCAAACTGTTAAGAGTCACCAAGTCAGGCTAAAATCAGTGCTCCCTGCCCCGCATCAGCAATACTGCACTGTGGTATAAATGTACTAGTAATATTAGGATTGCAACCACACCCTCACCCCATGCACCAGCCAGTACAAGGAGGCCGTGGACAAACACAATCACAAGATAAATCTTCTCCTGAAGTGCAGCCATGTCCACTGAAGAAAGCCACCAAGGGTTTTGGGAAGAGAGTATTATGCTTGGTGCTTCTGTTACAATGGCTCCAGTCACCTCTGCTCACAAATGGCTATAAAATTTCTGTCCCCTCCAAAAAAATCCAAATGTAGTGCTAGAAAAGACCATTTAGTTAAAAATGTCTAGATCATCCCAAATATTTTATCTATCTTGCTTCTAAAACCTATGTAGAAAGATTCCGTATAGCTTGGTCAAGTGTTTTATTACTTGAACACTTAAAAATGTATTCACAATATCCAACAAAAGTCTTTACTGCCAATCAAGTCTTTCTGCCCTTTCCCCAGAGACTATTGAGAACTGATCACCAACCCCTCTATACTGACCTTTTATGTTCTGAAGATATATGTCCTCCTCCTTAATCTTCTTTTCTTAAAAAAAACAAAACAGAAAAACAACAACAAAAACAGTGTTGTGCCAAAATCCAGACACAATATTCTGGCTATGGTTTCACCAGTGCTAAGTAGAGCAACAAATAATGACCTCATTTGATCTGCATGGAATTTCTGTTAATCCATCATAAAAGTGTATTTATATTTACAACAGCATCACATTACTGAATAATTTTGATCCAATATTGACCCATTATAACCCAATATCCTTTTTTGCCATACTCCTACCTAGCCAATTCATCATTAACTTGTGGGCAGTTGACTTCTTCCCAAGTTTAACACCTTTCACTTTAATATCAAATATTGATTTTGATCCCTTCTTCAGTAGATCAGAGGTCTTAATTCTGTTTCTGTCCTCCAAAGCAGTTACAACCCATTCTCCCACCCTTTATCTGTAGGAGAGCCTTTGCCATCAGGAGGTTAATAGGAATGTCTTATGTTCATTCATTCAGAAAATCCCAGGGCAACTGTCACAGCACAATGCAGCTTGGGCCACCAGCACAGGCCCAGGGTCCAGTGGCTACAGCATAAGGTAAGAGGCCTCATGGCTACTGGCTTTAAACGCATCTACTTGAAGGCCTTTGGAAGGTAATCAATAACACAAGGAGGCCTAGCACCAGACTGAAGCTTCTGCTGAATCTAGATAGCCTCCTCACCACTTTTCAGCATGCCCCAGAATACCCCTGGAACATTAGTTCTTGCTAAAGGACTGAACAAGAAGTGTAACAGTAGTTTTGGAAATCATTTCAAATCCTGAAACGTGTATGTTTAGAACACACTGAACATTTCCCCCCAGCTAGATTTCTATTCATTTTCTAAACAACTCTATATATTTGAGGTTGGAACTAAATTTTCTGTGATAGTGAACATGAAACATCTGAGGTTGGGTGACAGTCACAATTGAGATTTAGGTTCATTCTATTAGATAATTTAGGCAAATTTCACAAGGTCTCAGAATTTCACATCAAGGGAGTCCCACAGAACCAGGGATTGTTTAAATCACTCAACTAGAGCTCTGTATGGAAAGACTTTAGAGATACTCCATTTGGAGGTAGTTTTAAATTTGAGGAGCCTGCTGTAGGTGCCAGATGAAACTGGACACAAGGACTCTGCAGTGGATTCTTCCAAGCAAGTCATTCACAAAGGAAGTCAAATTCAGGGAGGATGACTTATGGGGCATGCAGAATGAGGAAGAGAGAATCTAGAGAATTTAAACAATTAACAAGCAAGCTGATAACATGCATCTGAAGAAACATAGAAATTGGTTGTGCATGAGACTAAAGGCACAGACAGAAGTGACAATTTTTGCTCATATGGCCACAGAAAGTGGTTTATAGCTGTATCCAAACACAAGTGCACAGCTTCAGACTGCTTAAAAATGGCTGATTGGGTGAAAATCTGAACCTTCATTGTATGTGGGGTCAGATGAAGGCATTTCAAAACAGAGCATCTTCTGTAACTTCTGTCTGCCAACCTATGGCTTTTTTTCAGAATGGTAAGGGAGAAAGGGAGCAAAGGGAGTTCAGCTTGGGTTTTTTCAGCCCCTACTGAAGGCTAGGGCAGGTGTATTGGACCTCAAGGGGGGTTTCAAGTCACCCACCCCATTTTCTAGTGCTGGCTGGGGAAGCTGCAGAACAATCTCCCTCTGCTCCCTTTCCCCGCCTCCCATTTTGAAGACAGGGGGCATTTTTACACATGTAAGTGCCACAGCACCAGGCACTTTGAAAAGCACCCGGTACTGTGTTGCCTGCAGCTGTATAAGCAGCAAAATGCATGGCAATGTGCAGAAAATGGTGGTGGCATACTTTTGAACTAAAACACATAGAAGGTGTTTTAGTTCAAAAGCACACTACTGCCACTTTTTCCACACTGACACACATTTCACCACTTATACAACTGCAACGAATGCAGCGCTGTGCGCATCAGCTCACATGCGGAGCAAACTCGATTAATCTCCGGTGCACCTGGGCACAAAAATACATGCGTAAAAATGCCCGGGGACAGGCTAGGAGGGAGGAGAGGCTGTTGCTAGGGGAAACCGACTGTAGGATCCCAGCCAGTAGCTACATTCCTCTCCCCCCTGGAACCAACAGTGAGCATCTGTTTGGTCCGAGAGATCGTGGTAATTCAGAACACTTCCTGCAAAGCGTTCTGTGTTGTAGCAGGGAGCTGCACTTCTGTCTGCACCCTAAGAGCAAATAAAGTAATCAAGTGTTGACAGCCCAATTAAGGGTGGAGCATGTGCCCTATACAGGATAGTTTGTGCAGAAACCCAAGGGGTTTGCCCCATCATTGTACTCTTTTCCAAGACCCTAAGGGAGACTTTTAGGGCCTGCATATGCAAGTCTAAGCCCAGTACTTTCACAAGTCCCACGAGTACCAGCAGTGGAGGGATTACACAGACATGCTCTGTCATTCTAAAAGCCATCAAAACCACAGCAGAAACCAATATGAGACAATGTGGCTTTCTGCCAGAAAGTAAATCAAGAGAAAATTATTCTGCTTTTAAGCTAGGTCACAGTAAAAATAAGTTTCTAGGACTAAGACATTTAAACTATGATTTCAGCACACTAAAGACAGCTCTTAGAGTTTAGTTGCAATATATTTAGACAGTGGTGCAATATATTTATACTGTTCAGTGGTTCTAAGATGCAAGACCGGAGGAATAGATGTGCAGGCTCCTTGTGTTTCCAGCTGCCCACACACAGCAGCCACGATACCAGTTACGTTTTTGCTGAAGATGAGTCAGTATTAAAATGGCAAAATTCAGTAAGCCACAAATGAATTTGGGAATTAATTTTTAAGTTTAAGAACATGAGATAAATCCTGCATTTTGCAACATTTCTAAGTAATATACTTGGTTACCACACATCAAGAGTGGAGCCTCTGAGATCCCAGTTAGACGGAGAAAGTACTCATAGTTCCTCATTAGTATCCTTGAAATCATTTGGTTTTAAACATTTTAAAATGGATGCCTAAAAAGCAGCACTCCCGCCTCTGAAAGTAACTGGGGGGAAAATGAAAGCAATTTTTTCAGTTCTTAACACCTAAGGTGATAAATGTTGACCTTAATGGACAATGATTCAGTGAGCATTCATTTTTTACAAAAATTTGTGGGATACTTGAATAATTAGTGCAACATATTCTAAGCATACAAAACCCTGAAGACCCTTCCAAAGACTATTTCCATTTGAGCCACTGCCCAACTATTAGTCGTAAGAGAAAGAAAAAGGTGACCACAGAATTCTGAGTACTATTAACTGCCTAAAACATTTGAAGTTATCAGTAGGACCTGTCGTTCTCTTCCCTTGTTACTAGCCTCTGAGGATACATATAATAATGGTCTAAAAGTAAAGCATTAGACCTGTACTGAAATGTCAAGCTCAGTCAAAGCCTGGATGACCTAGAGGAAGTCTGGATTTATACACTATGTTAATGAAGGGAAATGAACTGAAAGATTAAGTTTTATATTTTGTCAAATTTAAAAAGAGCTTTCATAATTTCAGTATGGTCTAATATTTCTTCTAATATTTGGAGTTTATTCAGATCAACCTGCTTCAGGAATATTGAGCATAGGTCTGCTTATTCTTTTTAAAAGCTGTGGGATACAGTTTAGATTTGCTCAACTGACATAGGAACAATTGCTTTCCTCATTTCTATCTAGTGGGACAAATAGCATTATAGCAGCAGTAAGGCCAGCCCATTATCTCAATGTTTCGGCTACAATGACCCAAAGTGAAATCGGTTCAGGGAGCTCACACATATGAGTTATTCTTTCATGTTATTTTCAGACATTGGATAACAGCAGTACCATAGATGCAGTAAGGGTTAAAACCTTACTTTTTCAAAGGAAGTGTTATTTCTAGAGCACAAAACTACAGCAACTGAACAGGTAACTGAGTGTCAGCCCTATGCCACATCTGTATAATATACATAGGTATTGTTCTTTGTTTCCTTGCTTTAACTGAGCAAAATTTTAGGGTTTCTTCCCATATTTTTTAAGACTTAAGTTTTAACTCTACATTAGTGTTGAATTCACACTCTCCCATCTGTTTTTCTCTTGCCCATTTTTCCTTTTATTGTTGCATCAGGGAAGTACAGCTTTTGCTGCCTTTTCAGGGAGGCATCCAGTCTCTATACTTTTTGTCCTTCCCTCCACTCAGACCCTGGTCTGTGACACTCACCATCTCATCTACGCAGATTCAAATATCAAGTCTCTTTTCTTCTACTCTCTCATCTTCCCACGCTGCAAACTGCAGCTTCATTTAGACAGCTCACTCCAGCTCTCCTCTTCTGGTTCTCTTTCCTCTTTACATTCACTTCAAGGCCAAACTCCCTTCACTGCTGCTGGGCTGACACAGCTGAAAGTGCAAAAAGGCAGGGGGAAAGCAGTGAGGCAAGGAGCTAATGTTCAGCAGGACTTTCTTAATAACAGAACAGCTGCTTTGAAGCTTCAAGGTCCAATTTCTGTAGCTGAAGTTGCTGGTAATAAAATAGCTACATTTGTCATGGCTTCCAAGTGTGCTTAGGCGTATGAGTTTATTTTACCTTTATAGCTTTTGGTCAAAGGTGGCAGAATGGAAGCTATAAAAAAAAAGAGACATGATCAAGTTGTGAAGCAGTTATGATTGCTACATGCAACATACTTGACAAAAAACATATAACTAAAGCAATGAAGAATCTGGCCACTGACCAAAACATGCCCTTTATTTCTTTACCCACAGAGACATCATTTACCACTTCCTCAGTTACTGGAAATTGGAAAACATGTATTGCAAGTCTGTATTCCCACACACAGCTTCTCCAGCACACATTTCCACTATGCAAACCCTCTCCCAAAAATGACGAGTACTTGACTTACTGTGAGGGAATTTGGTAAAGGGTGGCTATAGAAGGCTGGAAGAAATAAAGCTGTACCCTGAAACTGTCATTTGAATTGATTGTCACTGAGACCAGACCTCATTCTATGAAGATTTAAAGAAATCCTAGTTGTTCTAAACCCTTAAGATGCCTTACTTGAACTTCTTGTACTTAACTCTTTGCATGGGGAAAAACACCAAAAAATTCAGTCTAGAGACATAGCAAGATTTTTCAGTGCCTGGGGCAGAGGTTGAGTTGGGAAGGAGAAATTACGGTGACCACTGAAGAGCTGGGGAGTAGCAGGGAATGTGGGCTCAGGTTACTACAGCTAAGGGACAGGCTCACTGCCCACTGGTGCAACAGCCCAGCAGCACAGGTTCCCCAGGCGCCACTCCAGTGTCCCATTCATTCCCCTCCTTGCCAGATACACTTCCGAGTGCACAGCTACACCACCCATGGCAAAACCCCTGCAGGCAGTTGGGGAGGGGGGCAGAAAACACCATGCCTCACTCACCTCCTCCCGTCCCCACATATACAATGCAGGACATTGGGCTATGCCTACCCGGCTGGCTGATTTCACAGGCAAATCTCAGGGCCAGCTGCCATTTCCAATGGCTCATTATGGCCACTCCTCCCCGCCCCCCCACGATGCCTCTGATTGGTCAAGAGGCCCTGATGGCCCTGCCCCTGCCCACTGATTGGTGGAGAGGGGTGGGGCCACAGGACAGCCCTCTTAGCCAATCAGCGCCAAGAGGCAGGGGGCAGCAGCCATCTTACCTGCTTGCATGCAGCTTCTCTCTACCTTTCCTTTGGAAGGGCCTGCACAGCTCCCCACATTTTATTTTTAGCAAGTTTTTCCCCCCCCCCTTCCCCCACCCCAAATGGATTTCAAGGAGATAGCCTGATTTCATGATTTCTGCAAAATCCATGCAATTGTGATTTGGGTAGGTCCCTACCTATTGCAGGGCTGCCCCTGACATGGCAAAGGTTCCTGGGGGAAAGGGGCTGCACTGACACTTTATCTAAGTCAGTTCCTGGGGCTGGTGCTCTGCTCACCTCCACACACCATCCAGTTACACTTCTTGTTCTGCCCCTTCTGTTTATCTGGCACCATGTTCTAACTCATGACTTAAGATTCTTTCATGAATGTAAGACTGTATAGGTAGATGCAAGCTTTTGAATCCAAGTGTTCAGTGTGTGACATTTACTCTGCATAAAATACGACCCCTCAAGAAATAAACGTATATGACAAGCTTTTAGAATAGTTTTACAGAAGCAGTGCACAAGCTCTTTGCACAGCAATAAAGCTCAGCCTACAAGTCTCATCTTCCATTCACTAACAGCAAGAAATGTTAGTGCTTACTCACACCATTGTCTAAAAATTATGCCCACACACCTTGTGAACCTGGGTAGAAAGTAAAGCATGGAACATCAAGTGTAGGATAGGAAAGCAGTCATCAGTTAACCAAGAACCAGGATGAAGTTAACCAAATTGTTTCACCCAAACTCCATATCACATTTCCAAGTCCCAAGTTAACATGTCATATTGTCGAGCCTAAGAGGCCTGATATTGTGGCAATAAAAGCATTTTGGTTTCACTGGATTCATATGTTCATTCAATTATGTTCTTTAAGCAAGTTATCAATCTATGCCAGTCAGTTCTTAAGAGGCAGCACATAAGTAATGAAATCCATTCTGTCCCTTCCTATTATACATGCAACTTGATCTGAAATCAATTTGACCAAGTATTCTATCATCATTTTCTTCAGTGTTCTTTAATGCCATTCCAGTAGCTAGCAAGTGGAAGCTAAGTAGCAGGGAAATCATAAATGCTCTAAAGCTTATTTGTGAATCTGACAGGAAACACTTTTTCTCTGAAATACTCAATTTGACAAGAAATCACATTACACACCTAGCAGATATCACATTATTCTTATACCCAGGGAAACTAAATCAAAGACTACTTATCCAGACCCTCTTTTCCACACAAAGAACTCTTTAACATATCACTGCAACTTAAGGCTTAACTTCTATGAAGTGCACTGTTGTAGCTACTTGAGTCTTGATTCAAATATTGAAGTCAATGAGTTTCAAAGAGATTCTAATACCCTCTGTCTGAGTAAGCCATCTAAAAAATAAACCTAAGATTTTAGTTAAAAGCAATTACTTTGCATACAGACGATCTCAAAACATTTGGTAGAAATCTGCAGTTCAGACCCAATACTATTCCTGTCTCCTTTCTACCTCATTTGTTTCCATACCAGACTCAAGACAGGAAGACTTCTTTCTTTATGTGGTACAAAGCAAGTCTTGTAAGAAAAACTGCTTATGGTCCTATTCCACTGTTTACTGTAGTGCTGTATAATGTACACATTACACAGTTAGCTCAGTATCAATATCAAGGTATTTTGTATGGAGTTCAAAACCTACCTGAGAACCAGAGTAAATACTTGGGCAGTTAACCTGTGCTAAGTTCTGCATTACTGCAACTACTGCCAGTACCTGAATGAGCTAGATTCATGCTAGCTGCAGTTGACCAGTGCTAGTCACATCTGTGTAAACACTACCTTTTATTAGAGTTCCTTATCCACAACTAGGATCAACCTGTAATTTATAAATGTAGAACCAAATCCTGCAATGTTAAATATTTGGGTGGATCAATAAGGTCACTCAAAGCCCATGCAGAAGTCAGTTAGATTGTCTATCAAGCCTGTCATTACAAGATTTGAGCATGAATACCAAGTAGCATAACCCAGGGTGGGTAAGCAGAGCACCTTTTAGAGGGGGCGCCAGAAAAACAGCCTGTGCAGGAACTGCTGCCAGCATGCAGGGAGCCCATGCAGCAGTGGGGGCAATAGCAGCCCCTAGCATGAGAGGAGATTGTGACATGACCACTGCCGCCGGGGTCTTCTGAGTCTCTGGTAATGTTCTCCCCCATCCAGCATCGCTACACTCAGCACAAACCACCCCACCCCAGGGCCCCAAAATTCCCAGTTATGCCTCTGTGAATATATTATATACTTAAAGATCATTGCTTCTTAATACTGGATGCAATGCTTAATATTGGCACTTAATGCTGCATAGCAACACCATACAACAGTACAAAACACAAAGGGACTCAATAGATTTACATCAATACTGAAGATAGTGCACCTGGTTGACGGGGTGAGAAAATGGGTTTTAACAACTTAGGGAGGCAGCCTGACAAATTGCCAGGCTGTGATCAGTCAAGAGAAGCTAATGAGCCTTCATTGCTTTGAAAGATTCAGGTGCATTATGTTTTCAAATACAAAACCACCACATGAGCGTTTGAAGCATACTGATAAAAAAAAAGAAAGGGTTTTTGGTGCATGTAGCAAGCAAAGCCAGTGCTAGATATATCCATTAGATCAGGGGTGTCAAAGCCATTTGGCCCTGTGGGCGGGATCTGAATCATGGGCCTTCTCAGACAAGATGACCTGTGGTAGGAGGCAGCTGCCACTGCCACACATACTCTGTCCACCAAAGACTGTTTAGAAGATCCTGGTGTAGGTAGACATAGCACTGTCTTTGCTTGCTACATGCACCAAACAGCCGTTCTTTTTTTATCAGTATCTTTCAAATGCTCATATGGTGGGTTTGTATTTGAAAACATAATGCACCTGAATCTTTCAAAGCAATGGAGGCCCTTTAGCTTCTCTTGACTGATCACAGCATGGAAATGTCAGGCTGCCTCCCTAAGTTGGCTGAGCTGCCACCATCACTCATACTTTGCCCACCCCAATTTTGTTGTTCTTAAAGCAGCAGCAACCAGGATCTCTTTTGGGGCCCTTGTATGGTAATGCTGCCAGGACACAACTTCTGCAGGGCTCAGGGCAATTCTGGCACCCCTCCTAACTTGGCACTTAAGGAAGGTGCCCCTTTTTCCAACCACTAGTTATGCTACTGAGCACAGCTCCAGAAATCAGGAGGTTAACTTGGCCACCACTCAGCCCCATTTTCTCCTGCCACTGATTATAGTCAGCAACAGTAACTAAAACCCCCAAACTGAGTGGTGGGTAAGGGGGGAGGGGGAAGCGCAACAGAAGCTTTAAATGCCTGGGTGAGTCAGCCATTCTAACATAGTAGCTCTGGCAACTGCAGTGACAAGCCCTGTGGGTTGATTCTGGGTGATGGAGGAGGGCCAGGCAATCCACAAAAGATCCTGCAGTCCAGATAACCCACTTCCATGAGCCTGATCAAGCCCATGGGCCAGGTTTGACACTCTTGCATTAGATGAACTTCAGTATTCTGCAGTGCAAATTCCCCTAGGATATTACATCTGCAGAGTATGTTATTTGCTTGCTCTCCTCCGAGTCTCCAAGAATGAGACAAGAAACAAGACAAAACTAAGTGAAACTACCCATCCATGGAATAGATTTGTGACATAGTTACTCCTCTATAACTGATTTGAGTAACCCCAAACCAGGGTGCGCAAGGGAAGGAAAACTACCTCTCACATAGTCATAGGACCTACAGGACGAAAATCCATGGATC